GAATCTTCTCAAAATGTTCTAAAATATCATTTAAACTATCAACCAGTCCACTTACTTCTTTACATGTTCTGCCCTTATCCCAAGGGTCTTTGATAGTTTTACTACTGCTCCACATGTCAGGACCTACAATGTATCCAAACTTAAGCCACCAAATGTCAATTCATTGAAGAAGTTTGATCAGAGGATGAAGGGAATAATACATTTCCTATCAACTGTTGAGAAAAATCAGCTGAAAAACTGATTTTCAGCCTGATATAATATGAATACAAAACAGTTCCTTCAGCTTTTAATATATCTTTTTTTTAAGTATCTAGATTTATCTTTAGTTTTAAAAGCAACCATCCACATACATTCAGACATTTATCTAAGAACACAGCTGGCATATAAACGTGCCATGGCTCCAGGTTATAGCAAGTAACTTAGAAAGTAGCCAGTTAATTTACTAATAAAAACTGAAGCGCAAATTCATGATGGTCTAGCCTGAAATATCTTGTTTTATCATATTCATGAATTTTGACTATTAAGACATTTTTACTTACTCACATTGGGACATTCTAAATTACACTGTATATATCATCTCCATGCTTAAATGTACAATTTTAATTTCCAGGGAAAAAATAGATGATAAAAGATGTCTTTGTCACTGAACATTAGAGTTGTGACTATACAGTGCATTGTGGAATTGGTGTCATTACTTTTTTAGCTGTACTACTCACAATGAAAGCCAAATACTAGTAATGGCTCAATTATTTTTAATTCTTAAAAATTCGAGAACAAAAAGCAAAGGTTAAGTATAAAAATAGTCAAACTTCTTAAAAGATTTAGATGATCCTATCACTGTTTATGATATGAGACTAATATCTCCAATGTAGTAATTGGTATACGGAAGAATTCTTCTAAGAGAAATGATTTTAAAAATCTGATAATCAGCTGGGTGTGGTGGCGCATGCCTGTAGCCCCAGCTACTCGGGAGGCTGAGGCAGAAGGATCACTTGAGCCCAGGAGTTCAAGGCTATAGTGACCTATGATCGTGTCTGTGAATAGCCACTGCACTCCAGCCTGGGCAACACAGCAAGAGACCCATCTCTCAAATTACAAAAAAAAAAAATTTGAGAATCAAAATCAGACCCCCATATTCTTATGAATAATAAGTTAAGTATTTTCTGCCAACACTCTTAGCAATAGATACTAAACTCAAAAAGACCTATGCCCCAGGATTTTCCTAGAGATGTAATTTTAAAATTATCCTATTGTTTCTAATACATTTTTATTGTTAGATTCAATGTCTTAATTCAAAATTCAGAAAGATGAAATAATTATTTGAATCATCATCTCCAAAGAAGAAATCTTAATAATCACATAATGTGTTAAGGCTTATTATTAAAAAGCATATATGAACACCATTCTTTGCCTTTATTTGAATAGAGTAACACTTATAGAACACTTATTCTGTGCCTGGTACTGTTGGGAACATTTTATATATATTACATCATTTAATCTTTACAGAGTATCTATAATTTATCTACTGTTGTTATTCCCATTTTACAG